GCTAACATCCGTGCCCATCTTCCTCCACTTTATATGGGACGCCGCCACAGCATGGCTTGCCAAGCAGTGCGTCGGTGCGCACCCGGGATCCGAACTGTCGAACCCTGGGCCGCTGCTGCGGAGCGTGTGCGCTTAACTGTTTGCACCACCGGGCCGACCCCTACGGCTGTGTGTTTCTATCTTGACCATTAGACACGTTTAGGGGATGTGTAATCATTATGGCACACTTGGAAAAACCCAAAAAGTAAAAACACTTAAATGAGGTTACAAGTCCTTTTACCCATAGACAGCCATGGAAACCATCCTAACCAGACTTCATACTTACGCTGTGTGTCTGTCTTTGTGTTAACACAGCTCTGTTGATTTAACGTGTCCTGAGTATGAGAGTCATGTCTCAAGGCTGCAAAACATGACATCTCCCCAGTGAGTGTGTTGTATTTTACTTATGCGTGACAGACAAAATATCACAGGCTGGGTGGTTTAAACAACAGATGTTTATTTAAACAACAGTTCTGGAGGCTGGAAGTCCGAGACCAGGTGCGGGTGTGGTTGGGTGAGGGCCCTGTTCCTGGTTGCAGACTTCTGGCTGTGTCTTCACATGGGGGAAGGGGCCAGGGAGCTCTGTGGAGTCTCTTTTTTCTGGGCACCAATCCCATCATGGGACTCCACCCTCATGACCCAGGCACCTCCCAAAGGCCCCACCTCCTAACACCATCACATTGGGCATTAGGGTTTCATCATACGAATTTTTGGGGGACACAACTATTCAGACCATAGCAGCTTCTGTGTGTTTTTCCTTTTTTATTTTTTGCTACTAAAAATCACAGTGATGGGCTGGCCCGGTGGCTTAGCGGTTAAGTGCGCGCGCTCCGCTGCTGGCGGCCCGGGTTCAGATCCCGGGTGCGCACCGATGCACCGCTTCTCCAGCCATGCTGAGGCCACATCCCACATACAGCAACTAGAAGGATGTGCAACTATGACATACAACTATCTACTGGGGCTTTGGGGAAGAAAAAGAGGAGGAGGATTGGCAATAGATGTTAGCTCAGAGCCGGTCTTCCTCAGCAAAAAGAGGAGGATTAGCACAGATGTTAGCTCAGGGCTGATCTCCCCCAAAAAAAAAAAAAAAAAAAATCAGTGATGTTAGTGATAAAAGCATTTTATGTATTAAAAGTATTTAGAAGTAGGAACAGAGGAGGCCGAATGTGAATGTTTTAAAGCCCTTGATATTATTGCCAAACCCCGAGTACATCTTCAGTACTTATTTCTGAAGCGCCCCCTACGGGTCAGTCCCTGGCGATGCAGCCATGAGCACAAAGAAATGACAGGTGTAGCCAACAGGTGCAGATCGAAGTGCTCATGCCAGGCCCCAGTCTAAGCGTTGCACATGTGTTCATGCATTAACTCACAGTAAAGTGTGAAGTTTCTCCACTTCACCGGTGACGAAGCACAGAGATGTTAGTGCCTTGCCCAATGTCACACAGCTGATGGAGGAGCCGGTGGTCTTTTCTCCATCAGCCTTCCCTCCGCCCCCCCAGATGAGGCTTCCCTGTGACAGTGTCCTTCGTCTGCTGTCTTTTGAGCTTGTGACTGCCTAGGGTGGCAGGACGGGGCTTCAAGAGGCTCTCCCTGCTGGCTCGTGCTCTGAGCGGCTGCTGGTCCCAGCGTGAGGACACACGTTTAGAATTGAAAGCCACTGAGACTTGAGGCTTCCATTGTGCAGGAATTTGGCCAGTGCAACCAGGAATAGAGACCTGGGGTCTGAGCCCGGCCTTCATGCCCCAGCAGGGTGCTCTGGGCTCCACTGCCATGGAGGGGCCGTGTGGCTGGGACTCCATGGTTCTAAGCCATACGCCTTGCGGCAGAGGAGAGGCACCTCCCAGGCCACCCTCGTGTTGGCGTCTGTGAGAAATACGCACTCCTTCCCAGGGGACCCTCGGGAGGGGAGAACAGAGCATCCCTTGAAACCATCTCAAGCCTCAGCAGTCCTTGCAGGCTGGGTGCTTTTCCACTCACAGGCCAACAGGCTCGGAGTTGCACGTGGCAGAGATTTGCACACCCTTTCCCTGCCTGCCGGGCTGCAGAGACCCCCTTGTCCTTGTGAGCCTGGCCAGGTTGCCTGGCTGTTTGTGTCCACAGCTACATGGCTGTGCCCACTCTGCTAGTCCACTCCTCGGGCCCCTGGAGGATCTGAGGAGGGTCAGCTGACTCTAGGAGGGCCCCACACCCCTCGCAGGCACAGCATCTGGTCACACCGTCTGCTCCTGTCTCCACCCTCGCGGGATTCCGGGTGAGTGGGGGCATAGTGCTCTGCTTGCTCACCAGCCCCTACGCCGCAGAAGGTGCTGTCTGCCTTTTATGCCATCTGGTGAGGAACAGCAGGGTCAGAACATTGTTCTCCATCCTCGTAGACTGGATGTGGCAGCCGTGACCATGCTGCCCCTCCCACAGGAGCTGCGGGGCAGCCCTTCCCTCCGCTTCCCCTGCTGCTTGGCAGAGCTCCTGTGGCCAGGAGCGGGTAGCACAGACCTGCTCTCGGCCCTCGGATGAGCTCATCTCTGATACTGGAATTTCTTTTTTTTTTTTTTAATTTTATTTATTTATTTCTTCCCCCAAAGCCCCAGTAGATGGTTGTATGTCATAACTGCACATCCTTTTAGTTGCTGTATGTGGGACGCGGCCTCAGCATGGCCGGAGAAGCGGTGCGTCGGTGCATGCCCGGGATCCGAACCCGGGCTGCCAGCAGTGGAGCGCGAGCACTTAACCGCTAAGACACGGGGCCGGCCCAGGGAATTTCTGAGTTTGTCCCAGTTTGTGAGCCCTCGTACTTCTGTCTTGGGGGACGTGCAGGCACATGACACAAGATGTGTCAAGGTGCAGGTGGTTAAGTGGCTTGCGTGAGACAGGATGGGGAATGGGTTGTTCCCAGGACTGTTGGCTCCTGGGGCTGGGACGGAGCGAGGGAATGAGGGGCCTCGGCCTTAAGGCCGCACGTAGGATTTTGGCCTTACTGTGGGAGCAGTGGGGACAGACACGATCTGATTGGAGCAGGTCCCTCCAGCTGTGGTGCACCAACTTGCAGGCCAGTGGGGGTGGCCCTTCTCACCCACATCCTCTAACTCAGGGCATTGGTGAACTTTTCTGAAAAGGGCCAGAGAGTATTTTAGCTTCCAGGATGATAACGATTCTGTCAGCTCTGCCGTCGATCATGCCACGAAAGCAGCCAGAGACAATATGTAGACGAATGGGCATGATTGTGTTCCAATAAAAGTTTTTACAGGCACTGAAATTTTAATTTCATGTGTCATACAATATGTTCAACCATTTAAAAAACCATTCTTAGCTCCAGAGCTGTACAAAACAGGTAGTGGGTGGGTGGTAACTCTGTTACCTCCCTCACCCAGCTGTCTCGAGGCTCGGGTGGGCAGATCTTGTGTGCCCACAGGACTCCCCCAGGCTACAGAGGGACTGTCCACCCTCATCTGTGGTCAGTCTCCACCACAGACCCGGACTCGAGGACAGGGGCTGGCCCCGTCCACCTTTGCCCCCAGGCCCGCACAAGGCCTTGCAGAGAACAGATGTTTACACCTGGAAAATTACCTTTCAGTTTTGTTGACCTTATTTAGGTCTCTGTGGAAACTCTTGAAGCCGGGTATTTCCTCTCCCTAACGTCCTGACCTCAAAGCCTGGAGGCACCCCAAATGCATCATTCATTCATTGAACAACCATTTCCCAGGCTCTGAGTGTAAGCCGCACGCACTGGGCATACAGGGATGTGTAAACCCACCTGGGCTCTGACCCCCACCCCCACTTTATTTGTGAAGCTTCCAGAAAGCTCAAAATAGTTCCAATCCAATGTCACATATCAAAGCTTAATCTGATAATTGAGATAAAAAGCAATTTCAGGTCAAAGTCATGGGTTTAATTTACTGTCTCCAAGAGAGAAATCCAGAGTATTTTAAAATCTACCCTGAAACAGAGTTCTGGAAATTCTTAAAATGAGTTTACCGTCATATATACTGAAGCCCAAATTGGGAAATATAGCTTGAAAGTAGAACAGAATATCCCAAAATGTGCACCACCCTACGGATAGCCCTCCTCCTCTCTCCCCGAAAAAGAACCAGCAGCACACGTGACATGCACAGAAGCTTCTCGAGCATTCCTGGGACCTCAAACCTGTGCAGTAGTCTGAATTCAAAATGTCACACCAAGCAGGCCCTCAAGTATCAGGCGTCCTTTTCACATGGACTCCACATCCCATACTTCTGCAGCTGGTCTTTAGACTGGAACACAGGGCTGTAGGCTTTTCCATTGAATTCTCAGTTGTATTGGGACGTTTAAGTGAACAAAGCACATTAAGAGTTGAGAGAGGGCCAGCCCGGTGGCTTAGCGGGAAGTACGCACGCTCTGCTACTGGCAGCCCAGGTTCAGATCCTGGGGGCGCACCGAGGCACCGCTTCTCCAGCCATGCTGAGGCCACGTCCCACATACAGCAACTAGAAGGATGTGCAACTATGACATACAACTATCTACTGGGGCTTTGGGGAAAAAAAAAAAAGGAGGAGGATTGGCAATAGATGTTAGCTCAGAGCCGGTCTTCCTCAGCAAAAAGAGGAGGATTAGCATGGATGTTAGCTCAGGGCTGATCTTCCTCACAAAAAAAAAAAAGAGTTGAGAGAAAAAAAATCATTTCTCCAAGGCTAGAGAGCATGACGTTTCTCCCCAAGTTAACAAGGTGAGACGGCTAGTGTGGTGAACTCGGCTCTCGCAGCACCAGAGCGGCCAGAGGTGATCGCAAACACATGGGCCAGCTGTGTGCCAGGACGCTTTATTTGGTCACATGGAAATTTAATTTCAATATGACTTTCAAATGTCACAAAAGTCTTGTTTTTTTCCCTCAACATTTAAAAATGTAAAAACCACTCTTAGCTCTTAGGCCTGTTAAAAGGTAAACTGAGGCATATTAAAAACCTGAAGAGTGTGTTTGAGCAGACGTGGACTGGAACCAGCAGCACCAAACTGAACGTGGTCAGGAGCGCTGTGCCAACGGGAGCTGGGAGGGGCCTCTATAGAGAAGACGCAGAAGCAGAGCAAGGAAACCGACAGGCTGTAGCTCCAGCAGTCGCCTCATTGGGGAAAGCCTCCTTGGCTGTTGGTGATTGGCTGTTTCCAAATTTCATTGTCTCTGATATGAATGCATTTACAGGAAGTGACTCTGGCTTAGGTTTCGGTCTGCTCACATGGGTACCGAGCCATTAGGGCCACCAGTCTAATGGCCTGGGTTTGATTACTTTAACAGGCTGCACAAGAGCAGGCAGCAGACTGCATCTGGCCCACAGGCCATAGTTTGCCAGCCCCTGATCTAGAACCCTGTCAGCCCACAGGGTTCAGGTGCTGGAGGGATTGAAGGCTGAAGCCTTGGGCCCTTTTGGCCAGCCTGTGGTTGCTGTTAGGGGAAAGAAGGCAGCATTAAGCCCGGGGTGGAATCTGGGGGAGTCCATATAACCTTCCACGGCTTTGTCCCGTCATCACCTGGGAAGTGGCTGGGAGATGATTCCCTTCTGAGGACAGCGCATTCAGTGACCAAGTTGCCTTCCTACAGCATGTGGGCTTGGAGGCGGCGAGGGAGGTGGGGTCGTTTGGAGAAGCCCTGTCAGCACACAACAGCACCAGGTGCCAGAGATAGCAGGAGTGTGGCGTGTCCACCCAGGACCGTGACTCTTGGCTCCTTGTTGGGTGACCCACAGAGCCTGGAATATTTACAGCCCATTCAGATAGGGCCCACCCCTGTCCAGACCTGAAGGTGGTGACCACCTAGTTGAGCACAGCAGCCAAGGTGGGGGACATCATGTCCATAATCTCTGCAGTTTACACAAGTTCCTGGCCCTCTGGTCTTGACCCTTCTGGACACAAGTTCTGGGTGGAGGAGGGGACAGCTGGAGACACTTCCATGTACTGAACTGGGCACACTGATTTCACGGCGTCCTGGCACCTGGGGAGGGAAGGTGCAGGTGCAGGTTGGGGGACAACCTTCATCCCCAGAACCAGCACTGCAGCCAGAGAACACGTGACACGTGCACCTGGCTTAGCAGCTGCACCGGCAACCAGGCTGACCTACTGCAGGGCTGAGATCCCTGTCCACGTGCTGGAAACAGCAACTCCCATGGACTCGACCGTCCTGAACTCTGCTGTTCCCAATGCCACCAAAAAGCTCTGGAAACTCCCAGTGCAAACAAGGGGCCAGCACTTGTTTCACCTGATACAAATCTGTAACCTACTCTGGGGCTGTGCCACGCATGATCAAGGCTGCAATGTCTCGGGGATCTGCCCATGGGCTCAACCAAAACCCAGGGTGATGGTGACCCAAATAAGTGTTGCAACAAATTCTGAAGTGACCCGTCCCCCTCTGGTTACCTGCCTACATGTGCAAGAAACGGGCTTCTCCATCTGAAGTGGGGGGGGGTCACCGGGGCCCAGATACTGCCCCTGTGATTATTGGCAATGACACCAAAGATCGGCAGGTCCTGAGTGGGTGGTACTGGGTGGTAGCCCATCTGAGTAAGACTCCTGGTCCTCTGGAATTGTTCAGCTGGTGGGTCCAGGACCTTGGGGCAGGGCTGGGGTCAACACTGCAGGCCGGCCTCATCTGGAGGCCTTAATTAGATGCTCTGTGAGAAAAAGAGGTCCCAGCCTGTCTTGTCAGATTCACCAGAGTGGCTGACGGAGTGGCCGACCCATGTGAAAACTCAAGTTCTGGCAAGAAAGCCTCCGGGCACAGGGCCGAGTGCTGGGAGAGGTAACCTCCCCGCATGTTCTTACCGCGAGTGCAAGAGCACCAAGTGGCCCTGACCACTCTTCACCGGGGCTGTTTCTCAAGGCTGTGTTGGCAGGAAACCCTGAGGGATGAGGTAAAGGCCCCACCCTGCCAGCTCCCAACAGAGCGAGCAGGCCTGCTCACTGCTGTCAACGTGGTGACTCCCCAAGCTGTTTCTCGGCAACACACACGCAGTGTACACGGCACCACTGGGGCCGTCACCCTGTGGGACTTGGGAACCGACGTGCCCACGCCAACATGCCGACTCCTGCTCAGCAGTCTCCGTCTCCAGCCAACCTCCGTGCAAAGGCACCAGGCTCACCTGGCGGCTCACAGACCCTCCCAGCTGGCAGTTTGCGTGGCAGGAGTTCTGAGGAAGTGTGGTAAGCAGCAATCAACAGTGCACACCCTGGCCTCTGCGTGACCTGCCGGGCTGCGAGAAGACGCTCCCGCAGTGCTGAGGCCCAGGCCCACACGCTCGGTGTGGCTGGAGACACGGGCTCGGGGTCTGCAGTGGGAGGGGCAGGGGTGTGATGCAAGCAGCTGCTTGTACTCGCCTGGTGAGAGGAGTTCTTTTACACAGCTTAACTCTTGTAACCACCCCATGACAACGCTCAGAGAGGCAGACAGGCTCTGGATCTCGGGGAGGGCAAGCAGCGCCCCACAGTTACAGAGCAGGTCCCCAGGCCCAGGTGCTGTTTCTGGAGGGCCCGTGCACGTCCACCCTTGAGGAACGGCAGTCACGCTGACCGGCTTCTCCGCAGAGGCCAGCACCCGGGTGCTCTGGCCTTGCATGGCTGCATCCCTGGGGTGCTCTGACGGGGGATGAGATTTAACGAAAAGGAGTCAGTGAAGGAGGCACGAGGGAATTCTCTGCACGCCTATTCTGGACTTCCACTAACGTGAGCTAACACATCCTGACCACTGAAGCCAGGCCGAGAAACTGGTGCTTAAAGGAGGACATTCTGGGTAAGTCCTTTCCACCTGCTCGTCTGGCAGAGCTCACCAGGCTTTTCTCATCCACAGGACCTGGGGCCTCCCCTCGGTGAACTCAGAACTCTGCACACATGTACCCTGACGCGAGGGACACAGGCTTCATGGAACAGGACAAAGTCAAACATTCCAGCAAATGAACATACACTTTGTATTATCTCTGGATATTCTCAAGAGAGCAATTCTGAATCTTTCCCAATGTTCTAAATCTTTCTCATTATAAATGATCCCATATAAAATAAGTAAGTTAAGGCTGTAGGTTTATTCACATTTATACAGAATTACAAAGGTCTATCCCATGTGAATTTTCTGATGCTGAGTCAGCCTTGAGCTCCGATTAAAGGCTTTGCCACATTCATTACATTTATAAGGTTTCTCTCCAGTGTGAATTCTCTGATGTATAATTAGATGTGAGCGCCATCTGAATATTTTCTCACATTCATTACATTTATGCAGTTTCTTTACAGTATTAGTTTTTTTACGGCTCACGGAGGCAGAACCTTCCAGGGTATTCCCATATTCATGATACCACTGGGCTCGAGTGTGTATTCTCTGGTGCTCAATAAGATAGGAACTCCGACTGAAGGCTTTCCCACACTCACTACATCCATAGGGCTTCACTCCAGCATGAATTATCTGGTGCTGGAAAAGGGTGGAGTTCTGACTGAAGGCTTTCCCACACTCACTGCATTTGTAGGGTCTCTCCCCTGTGTGGACCCTCTGATGTATGGTGAGCTGTGTGCTCATGCTGAAAGCTTTCCCACACTCGAGGCACTCGTAGGGCTTCTCTCCCTTATGGATTCTCTGATGGTAAATGAGGCTGGAGCTCTGGCTGAAGGCCTTTCCACAGTCACTACACTCATAGGGTTTCTCTCCAGTGTGAATTCTCTGGTGCTGAATCAGGTGTGAACCCTGGACAAAGCCTTTCCCACACTCATCACATTTAAATGGTTTTTCTCCAGTGTGAGTCCTCTGGTGGCGAATAAGCCGGGAGCTACAACCGAAGGCTTTTGCACACTTGTTGCACTTGTAAGGCTTCTCTCCAGTGTGAGTTAGCTGATGCTGGCTGAGGCGAGAGACCCACCTGAAAGCCTTCCCACACTCATCGCACTTAAACGGCTTCTCTGCAGCATGGATCCTCTGATGGGCAATAAGACTGGGACTATCCAGGGTTCTTGGGGCTTGGGGTTTCTCTCCAGCATGCATCCGCTGGTGCTGAGAGAGGGTCGAGCTCTGGCTGAAGGCCTTCCCACACTCCTGGCATGGGTAGGGCCTCTCTCCAGTGTGAGTCCTCTGGTGTCTGACCAGCTGCGACTGCTGGCTGAAGCCCTTCCCACACTCCCGGCAGCCATAGGGCCTCTCTCCCGTGTGGACCCTCTGATGGTGGATGAGGCTGGAGCTCTGACCAAAGGCTTTTCCACATTCCTCGCACCTGTAGGGCTTCTCTCCAGTATGAATTCTTTGATGCTGAATAAGTTTTGAGCTCAGGCGAAAGGCTTTTCCACACTCAGTGCATTTGAATGGCTTCTCTCCAGTGTGGATTCTCTGATGCTGATTAAGCTGTGAGCACAATCGGAAGACTTTCCCACATTCCTCACATTCATATGGCTTCTCTCCATGGCAGTTACTTTGATGTTTCCCCTGTAAGCAATCAGATACTTTTTTTTGGCACTCGTGACATCTGCTAGGTCTCTTCTGTGTGCTGATTTCCTGATGCAGAGCAACACTGGAAGCAGATCTGAAGCTCCTGCCACACATGTCGCATCTTCGGGATGCCCCTTCTGCAGTATTGCCCTGACTTTTACCCGGCTGACAACGCAGGCCACCACTGCTCCCCAGCTCGCCACGTCCCTGGGCGTCCTCCTTGGCAAAGGTCTTCCTGGGAGCCACGGTCCCTGTGTTTAAGCGGTTTCTCTGGAAGAGGAAGCCTGGCTTCCTCTCTGACCAGACCTCAGAATCAGAGGCGTCTCCAACGCCAGGACTCTGTGGGGGGATTCTGACCCTCACCGCACGGGATTCCGCTCTCAGAACGTCCACGTCCTCACAGGCCTGCTCACTATCAGTCCTAATTGTGGAATCTGGAAAGACAAAAAATGAAACGCTCCTTATCCCTGTGTTCAGAGAAAGGATGAGATGGGCGTGGGGTTCAGAGCATCCCCGGGAACTGAGCTCCCTCCCAGGATGGCCTCCACCAAGCACCGACACACCCCACTTGGGAAGACGCCACAAGAAGTCGACACCTGTGACAGCTCTCAAAATTTCATTTCATTCATACTTTTTACTTCATGCATTCCTTCAACTACTGTGTACTTGGCAGAGGGCTAAGAACCACCCACCTACACGGGGGATACACAGCAGAGAGGCTCATGCCACAGGGAACTGGTACAAGGAAAAACCCACGAAGAAGCCAAGTGAGCCTGAGAGGGTGGGAAGCGCAGTGAGAGGCAGGATTAGGCTGAGAGGTCAGAGGCTCCTGGGTCCAGAGGAGGTGGAGAATGAGGAAAGAGGGATTTACAACTATGAACAGAGGGATGGGTAAGTACTGAGAAAGGTGAGGCAGAAGAGCTGCTGAGGGGGTACAAGGGTTAGCCTGAGAGGGCTGGGCATCATGGGTTTCTGAGCGGGACCCCAGGCCTGAACTCTGCTTCCTCCAGCTACTGCCAAGCCACTCCCTCTGACTTGCGCCTGACCCTGTCCCACGCTAGTCTGCCCCTCGGCTTCCAGGGGGCCACACCCACTGGCCCAGACTGACTTCCCCTTCCCTTTGGTTTCTGGAGGGTCCGCCTACTCCTGCCTGGCCCCCATGAGGCCTTCCTGACGTCCACTTTCCTTCTGGACTCTCCAAATAAGTGTCAGCCTGCTTCCTACCCTGCAATCCCAGAGAGCACCTTTGCTGAAGTCAGACAACCTCCCTGGTGTCCATGATCACAATCAGGGTCACAACCAGCTTCATAACCAGTGTTATAACCAGCATCACAACCAAATCATAACCACCATCACAAGCAGTTTCATAACCACCTTCATAACCAGGGTCATAACCAGCTTCATAACCAGCATCATAACTAACCTCATAACCAGGTTTATAACCAGCAATACAACTAGAATCATAACCAGCGTCACAACCAGTTTCATAACCAACTTCAAAACCAGCATCATAACCAATTTCATAACCAGAATCATAACCAGCCCGTTTCTACCCCACAGTGAAACCCAAGGGCCCAGATACAGGGCTACTGCCAGCCCCCAGCATCAGCACCATCTCCAGCTACAGTGATCTACATCTCCGTCAGTCCTGGGGTGTGGAAGGGGCCACCGTGCACAAGCATCTTCTATGAACAAGGAACAGTTCCTGGTCATTCCTCAATCAGTCTTTACGACCACCCAATGAGGTCAGTAGTGGAATCGCCAGCCCACAGATAAGGATCTTGTGGCTCAGAGAGGTTAAGCAACTTGCCCATTGTCACACAGCTAATGAGAGGTTCAGGAATGGACCCAGGTCTGTTCTCCAAATCCACGCTCTTTCAACCTCTCCGTGCCCTCAAGACACAGGGCATCTCCCGCCTGGTCTTCGCCGCACAGTCACACCACCTTGCAAACCTGCTCCTTCAGCAGGGCGGGAGCAGCCACACAGTACTGCTCTCCTCTGCCTCCCACTGGAACGCACAGGCCCTACAGGCGGCCACGAAAGCGCGGTGGAGATGCCTGCCTGCCGAGCCAGCCATGAGCCCAGGACCCGGCTGCACAAGAGAAAGAAAGGAAATGCCACATGAAGCAGGACGAGGACGCCACAGACCGCCTACCCGCTCTGGAGTCGGCCTCCCCCTGGTTCCCTGTAACTTGGTCTGCAGGAGCCTGGGTGACATTATGAGATTCTCACCTCCCTACACGGCCCTGCCTTCCATGGCCCACAGCCTCCTGTCTGGATCAGCTCACCACACACTCCCTCCCTCCAGGCCCACATCACACCTCACGAAGCACAGCCCATCTCTTCCTGCCCCACTTACCAGCGACAGCCTCCTCTGACAAAGACCCTCTCCCGACAAGCCCAGCTCTTCTCGACCAGGCCTGCAAGGATGAAATACTCAAGGCCATGTCCCTAGGATGACCCAGCCCCCCTAAAGCACCTGCCTGAGAAAACTCAAGGCCTCTAGAAGAACCTACTGCTTGCCCCAGTCACACCTGAGGATAGGCCATCTCCCGACTGTGGGAAGGAAGGTCCCAACTTCCACAAGTGCTAGGCGGGTCACCTGGACCAGCCCCGGCCTGCTGTTGTAACCTGTCCCTCCCCTGGCTCTGCAGCCCCACTTGCCTCCACCTGCCTCGGGCACCTCTGAACACAGACACTGAGTTAGCCCACGCTGGACTCTTCCCCACTGCAGCCATTACTATGGGCTGAAATCTGTCCTCACCACTTTAACTAGTGTCTGGCTGTTTATCTACAATGCTGCCCACAAGGCCCCTCGGGGACCCGTGACTGAGGCCCAGGGCTCCTCCCCTTCCCCTGGAGCATGAAAGCCCTTCTGTACGAGCTCTGGGTAACCTCTGAGAAGATGCACATACTGAAAAACAGAGCCTCATTCTGGAGGTGGTTTTCCCTCCAAGAAGGGATGTGTATTCCTGCTGGCTGACAGGCACCAAGGCCACTAGCAACAGGGGTGGCTGTGATGGAGGGTGGGGCCACAGCTGCAGGCCCTGCCTTCTCCCGCCACCCTGCACCAGCCAGGCATAAGTAACACCTCTGAGCATGTACATTTTTCTGGCATGTTCCCACGTCCATCTCCGAGGCTGGCCTCCTGCCCTGTGTGCTCAGAAACGTGAGCAGCTCTAGTCTCATCACAGGGATGTTCTCTGTTGTCACCTTGTAACCATAAAAACCGTTTGCTGCACACAAACCCGTTGCACTACCTAACTCTGCCAACTCTGGCTGGCTCTTCTCCATGGTGCCCTCTTTGAAGTCTCCCCCAACCTTGGAAATATTTAATCGGGGGCTGGGTTTTAACTGGGCCAGGCTATAGCTTCACCTTCCTCCCAGGAAGGATCAGAAAGGGGCCTGAACAAGAAGGCAGGGCCCTCAGTTATGGAGCCAAGGATGCCAGGGGCAGGGTGTGTGGTCAAGGCTCCCAACACTCCTGCCCACACTTTTGCCGCCGTCCTCACAGTGGTGTGTGTGAAGAGGCCTCAGACTCGGTGACCCGTTTCCAGGAGGCCCTTCCAGGCAGGAAGAGCACCCCTGAACTGTCACAATGCTGAGTCTCCTGACTGCTTCCAGACAGCCCCAGAGACCACCACGTGGGGGCCAGGCCCAGCCCTGTTGCAGCAGTGACTATGGGATACTGAGGCTGGCAAGAAGGAGGACTTCCTTTCTTTGGCCAGGACGCAGGCAACCCAGCTCCCTGACCAAACTGGGTGACGTGTCTGCCAGGGAGGCTCAGCCAAGGCTGGAGGTGATGGCATCACTCCAAGAGGGCCCCATGGGAGCCAACGCTGTGAGGGGGCAGGTGCCCCTGTCATGGGCTGACTGTGCCCGAGAGATGTGCTTAACCTCCAACCCCAGGACCTTAGAATACGACCTTATTTGTAAACAGGATTTGCTGAGATAGAGTTAGTTAAGACGAGGTCATGCAGGAGTAGGGTGGGCCCTAATCCAATATGCTGGTCCCTTGTGAGAAGACAGAGACACAAGGACAAGGCTGTGTGACACAGAGGATTGGAGTGATGCAGCCACAAGCCCCCAGGAACGCCTGGGGCCAGAGAAGCTGCAAGAGGCAGGAAGAGCCCTCTCCTACAGGTTTCAGAGGGGACACGACCCTGCCGATGCCTGGATTTCAGACCTCTGGCCCCCAAAGGTCTCACAAGAGACCTCTGTCTCTCTTGTGAGACAACAAGTCTGTTGTTTTAAGCCTCCAGTTTGTGCTGCTTTGCTACAGCAGCCCAGGAAACTAACACCGCCTGGAGCCTGATCTGAGAGGCTGGGGTCACCCAGGGCCCTGATAAGCTCTAGAGGGAGCTGCTAGGGGGCTGGGGCGGGCCATCAGGGAAAGCTGATGTTCACCTGAGAGGCTGCTCAGAGCCAAGCTTAGTGCCTCCCTCGGATCCACATGTTTGTACCTCTGCTCAGTAAGAGTATTAATAAAATTAGAAACTGAACAAAATGTGGCTGAAAAACAAACTTTGTTTTTGTCATAACGAAAAGGTGTTTTGTGTCCTTGCCTTTCTGTAGTCCAGTTTCTCCCGAGGCAGCCCCACGGCTGGTCTATGCTTCCGTCAATGGGCCCACCCCATGGCCTCATGGCAGCCCAGCAAACCTGCATGGTTGGTCCCTGGGGTCCGCCTCCAGCCTGCCACCTTGCTGGGCGTAGGTTTTCTGAACCCCTCCTCACCCCTGCATCTGGAAGCTTCTCTGCCACAGGCCTGAGTCTCACCCGTCTGGGAGGTCCTTGGCACCTCTCTCCCCTCTGCTCCCTGCAGGTCGAGGACCCATGGCTCCTGCCCCTGCTCCAGCCGGGAGATCAGCTCAGGCTTGAAGACCAGGAATCCTGCTGTGGGGACGGCAGAGAATGAGATGGTGTCAGCGTGACTGGGAGCACACAGCTCAGCCCCCTGGTTTCTAGGAGTAAAGGGGTGACGGCTGGGGTGCAGGCAGAGCCTGTGAAGGGAGCATCAGGGGGTGAGAGTCTGGGCAGTGGCCCTCTCTGTCCAGATCTGTCCAGCTCCTGAGGATGGACAGCAATGGATGCCTGGACTCCCAGCCTGTCCCCATCTGCAGCAGGGCCAGGATCCCCAGGGTACCCTGTCACCAAAGAGTCTGCAAAGAACTGGCCAGCTCTATCCTGCAGAGAAAGAAGCCAGGCACTGTCAGCACTTCCCTCGGCAGAGACGTGCCGTCCCTCAGTGCAGAGGGCAGGGACACTTCCAGAGCCAGGGTGCCTAAGGAACAAGACAAGAGCAACAACAAAAATAAACCAACGAATTAAACGGATTTCAAACCAGAAGGTGCTAAGGTCCAAACCTCACGCAGTCACCCCCAGCCTCATGACCTTGTGTGAAGCCCTGGGGGCTTCGGCAGACTGGTGAGTGGTGCAGACCTGTGGCGCCCACCTAACACCCGCCTTTGGGGGCCACCAGCCCCCATGCTGGGGGCCGGCTGCGTGCTCCCAGCCCGTCCAGGGCCCTCTGGTTGGTGCTTCCCTCCAGCTTCCGGCCATGGGGTGGAGAAGGGCCGGCAGAAAGACCCGAGGTCGCAGGCCTCAGGTGCAGGCAGGAAGCACATGGAACGCTCACGTGGAATGCTCAGAGAAACATCCTGGGGCCAGCCATGAAGGGAGTCACGGCAGTCCACAGGCTGCATGTCCAACAAAATACGACTGAACGTGAAGGCCATCATGACAGCCAGCTCAAAACCACTGGCTACTGGACACTAAACAATGAAATACTAAGAGGCAACTGTATTTACAAGAAGTCAAAATTTGTAGGATGCAGCTGAAGCAGTACTCAAAGATAAAATTTTACCTTTTTAAATACACTGACTACAAATAAAAATGGTTGAACACAAATAAGGTAAATATTAAATTCAAGAATTTGGGAACAAAACAACACAGCAAACCCAAATAAATAAAAAGGAAGAAAATAGTAAAGGTGGGGCAGGATTCGACGAAATAGAGAACAAAGACCTAACAACCTCCACCCAACCCACCAAAGATCAGCAAAACTGAAAGCTGCTTCTCTGAAAAGATGAATTACAAGTCTTGTGGCAAAATCCATCAAGGTCAAAAGCGAAAAAACACCGCCAAGAAATAAAATAAAGAAGGGAAACAACCACAAACAGAGATTAAAAATAAAAAGAGTACTATGAACAAATACATGCTAAAAAAATTGAAAATCTAAATGAATCAATCAATTTGTAGAAAAACTAGAAATGACGAAATTACCACAGGAGGAAATCCACCAGCTTGATAACCATTAAGTATCAAAGAAACGTATGCTAATGGGAGGCCTCCCTCCCCAAGGGCCCAAGGCCCAGACGCTTTTACAGGTGAGTTCTACCAAAATCGTGGAGGTTCAATTAATTCCATCTATGTAAATTCATCCAGAAATTTAAAAAGATAGCAAAAGCTGCCCAGCTCATTTTATGAAACTTCTATGCCAAATGCCATTTGCCAAAAAATGCCAAAACTATATAATTCACAAAAAGAAACATAAGTCCATTTCGCTTATTAACAGGGATGCAAAAATCCAAGATACAATACTAGTTAGCTGAGTCCAAAAGGGTATCAAAATTTATATGTAAATATCATGATTTAAGTAAGGTTTATTCCAGGAATACAACAAAATGTCAATGTAATTTACTATACTAATAAACTAAAGAAAAAAAATCATGAGTACCTCAATTGACACAGAAAAAGAATTCACAACTTGATACACTTATTTATAATTAAAAACAAAACTCCTTAGCCAACTTCTTCTGTTCTTAATTAGATGCATTCCCTTTAAAATCAGGAACAAAGCAGGCCTGCACTCAGCAGTCCTGTCTAACACAGCCCCGGTGCTCTGGGCACTGCTACAGGTCAGGATACATGGGGGCAGAGAGAGAAAATACTCAACTCTCACCTGCAGGCCCCTCCTCCTGGAACACAACAGGGAGTTCAACTAAGCTGCCAAATACAAGATCAACCCTCCAAAACCAACAGCATTTCTGCACAACAGCAATAACCAGCTAAAAATATAGTCACATAAAAAAGATACATTCACAAATCAGCCAAAACCCAGACCACTCTGGAGAAAATTCCAGAACTCTAATAAATGACGCAGAAGGTAGGTGGAATAAATGGAGACACATTCCATTGTCTTGGATGGGAACAGTTAACATCAGAAAGATGTTAGCCCTCTTCATAGTATCCACAAATACAAAGCACTCCCAAGAAAAATTCCAGTGCAATTTTTAAGGAATGCAAACTTATTCTAAATTTATCTGAAACAATTATCCTATTACCCATGAGTAGGTAAGTGAAATTTTAAAAAGAATAAAAAGAAAACAACCAACCAAACAGTGGCGAGCTGGCTCATAAGAGACCGAGGAAGAGGCCAGGTCAGAAACACACCACTGCGGCGCCGGCCCCGTGGCTTGGTGGTTAGGTGTGCGTGCTCCACTGCTGGCAGCCCAAGCCCGGATCCTGGGCGCGCACCGACGCACCGCTTGTCCAGCCAAGCGGCGTTCCACATACAGCAACTAGAGGGATGGGCAATTATGACATACCACTATCTACTGAGGCTTTGGGGAGAAAAAGGGAAAAAAAGGGAGGAGGATTGGCAATAGATGTTAGCTCAGGGCCGGTCGGTCTTCCTGAGCAAAAAGAGGAGGATTGGCATGGATGTTAGCTCAGGGCTGATCTTCCTCAAAAAAAAAAGAAACACACCATTGCACACAAGAAAAAGGTGGTTCCACAAATCCCCGGGAAAAGATGGATTGTTTAGCGGATGATGCTGGGGAAATGGCTCAGCATGGACAAAAATAAAACAAGATTCTTACTTAACTCTGCACACATACCTGGAGCTCAGATCTAAATGAGAAAGATAAACTATAAAATCCACAGGAAAGGGCCGGCCCCGTGGCTTAGCGGTTAAGTGGCGGCCTGGGTTCGGATCCTGGGCACGCACCAACGCACCACTTGTCCGGCCATGCTGAGGCCGCATCCCACATACAGCAACTAGCAGGATGTGCAACTATGACATACAACTATCTACTGGGGCTTTGGGGAAAAAAAAAAAGGAGGAGGATTGGCAATGATGTTAGCTCAGAGCCGGTCTTCCTCAGCAAAAAGAGGAGGATTAGCATGGATGTTAGCTCAGGGCTGATCTTCCTCACAAATACAAAATAAAATCCACAGGAGAAAACACAGGCGATGACCTCAGAGCAGGAAAGAACTTTTAAATAAAACTTCAAAGGGACAACCCATAAGGCAAAAACTGACAGATTTAATTACATTAAAACACGACCTCGCAAAGTTAACAAACAAGAGAAATGGGAAAAGATGCTGACAAAGCACAAACCTACAGGGAATATGATGTACTCTAAACTTGGGCCACATCATCCGTCGGGTGGTGGCAGTGACCTGCCATTGTGCCTATGCGCACAAAAACTGGGCCACAGCTACTGAGACAAACATCACTTCAGCGGAGTCATTGGCAACACATGCTGAATTTCACTGCTCTCCACCCCATCTTCGAAAAGATTATCCTGTGACTTGACACTGAAGCAAGAAGTTAGCATAGGAGCAGAAGGCCGTGGAAAAGAGCAGCAGGGCGTACCTTTGAGATGGGAGAAGCAAAGCGTTTGTCACCGGAGCACTGACTGCAATTCAGTCACCTGCACATGTACACACCAGACCTGAGAAAGGAGGACGGGCACAGCGATGGGGCCGTCTGGTTTGTCACCAGATCCACACGGAAGGAATGGCTGCCAAATGCTGGCCAAGAAAGCGCGAGCATCAGCCTCGTTGAAGAAAACTTCAGCGACTTAAGAAAGGCTGCGTCACCCACACTCTTGATGGCCCACAGGACGCCATCAGGTCAAAGTGTGGACGTGGAAACCAAGCCAGAGTGATTAACCAGAGGACATGAGGTGACATGAAATATACCCAAGCCCATTTACTCCATGTGTCCTTCTCTTTCTGTTTGTGACACATGCTAAACCATGTCTAAATGAGTCTAAGAGCGCTCTTAAAAAGTAAAATAAAAATTTAAATGATAAGAAAAAATTGTGTTGCAGTATAATCAGCAGTCTTCTACCTCTTAACGGTACATAAAATAATGACGTTTCACAACACACTGCATTTTAGATTCGATGAAATCTAATACAAGAAACAATAAACACCTTTGATCAATAGGGCCCAGCACCCCCAGTAGACGACGGGCCAAGGCTCTGAGAAGAGCCTGTACTGAAAAAACTCTTAACACAAGTGAAAGACACTCAGGGTCAGCAGGAATCAGAGAAATGCAGGCTCAAACCATGACAGGCTCTCACCATCTGCCAAGCTGGGCCCTGCCAGGCTGGCTTGGACAGAGGGGTACAGGCCTGGGCCAGCACGCTGAGAGGCACCTAGCTGACCACCTCACCCCTGCCTACCCCACTCCTGGACCCCAGCCCAGACACTCTCTCGCTGGTCCAGGGTGCTCACATGCCGTGGGGCTGGAGACGGAGGGGGCCAATGCAGCGAGGGGTCATAAACCCCTTCCATAAAGGTGCATTCCAAGTAACAGGGCACATCTTGCAAGAACACAAACAAAACACAGACGGACATGAAGCGCCCTAGAGTGGCTGCCTCTGGTGGTCGGGGGGATGAGAGAAGATGACTGCCAGCAGGGCAGGAGGGGCAAGGGGTACCCTGAGGGTATCCACAAGCGGCCCCCAGGGCATCACTGCAGCCCTGGCTCTGCCAGGCAACCATTTCCTTAGACCCCACGAGCCAATAATTTCCCTTTTATTGTCTGAGCTATTTCTAGTTTGGATTCTGTGTCTTAAAACAAGTTAACCTATTAGTTCAAGCAAAAAGACGACTTTATTAGCTCCCAGAATTCCCTCTACCCCGTGAGGATGGAGTCATGTGACATGTGCAAAGCTTGGAGCCTGCCTGGCTCACTGTGACCTCTCCCGGGGTCAGCTCTGACCCACAAGGACTCATAGGCCCAAGACCCCACTTAGCCTGAGAGGGCCTAACCTCTGACAGAGGCCTGGCGAGGTGGGTGCTGACTGAGGACACAGGGGGAGGGGGTCCCGAGGTGCAGCCTCACCTAGTCCAGCCACACTGCTGTGGTTTTCCAGCATCACCTCCTTGTAGAGGGCCCTCTGGCCAGGGTCCAGACACTGCCACTCTTCCCGCGAGAAGTGCACGGCCACGTCACCAAATGTCACAGCCTCCTGAAAGGACACACACCAGCACCCCAGGGACCCCTGGGTGCCAGCCCCACTCTGGTGCCGTCTCACGGTGTGTCTCAGGCACAGGCACCACAGGGTTGGGCGAGGCAGTCACCAGGCCCCTCTGGCTCTACATCGAGGGGAGGGGCAGTATCCAGGAGGGGGAGGGACCCAAACCACGGTGACCTACAACCCTCCCCCCTTGAGAGCCTCGGGGGCCCCAGCCTGGGCAGGAGTTTGTTCACTACCTTGGGGACGGGCATGCCTGAGCCTGGCAAGGGCCACAGTGAGGGGCGAGGCAGGGTTAAGGCCCAGGCTCAGTGGGCAGGGCGGGTGCCAAGGGAGGAGGTGGGGGCCCTCACAGGACCAGTGAGGGGAGGCAGTCAGACTCCTACCATGAGGCTCGGTGGGTGGGCATCCACGTGTCCTGGCCAAGAGACCTGCTGGCAGTTATGAAAGAGTCAGAGATCAGGGTGCGGGAGGCCCCCACCCCCGACTCCCCGGCTAGTTGAGGAGGTACTGTGTTTTCCGATCCTTCACCTTCAACTCCAGATGTTCTCTGGCAGAGACAGAGAGCGGGGCCCAAGTGGATATGGCACTTGAGTATCTGCCCCCCCAGAGCTTTGTTCATCTCTCAGTATGTGGTGTGTGTGAATCACTCCACAGACACATAGGGGGTGGTTGCCACGTGTGGCAGGTACTCAGCTGAGCACTAAGGATGCAGCAGTGAACAACGCACAAGGCCTCTGCCTTCGTGAAGCATAGTCTAGTGGACGAGTTAAATAACCACACAAATAAACGCAAAATAGCAACCTTGAAAGCGCTGGAGTACAAGAAACTCTGAAAGCATTTAAATTAGGAAACTCTGACTTAGTCTGACAGGTCATCTCCTTGAGATGATGGAGGTGGGGAGGCCACTCCAGGCAACAGGAACAGCATGTGGAAAAGGCCTGAGGCAGAAAGGAATGGGGCTGAATGAGCCAGCGGCCTCTCCAACCTCACAGCCTGCAAGGGGAAGATGGTGTGACTGGAGATTAGAGTAGACAAGGACCAGAATGATGGATTATAGGGAAAAGAGGAGAGGATGCAGGAACCCCTTTCCCGCATACATCAACCTGGCCCCCTCCCCAGACATCTCCCAGGAGGTCAGAATAACTGGGCTTCCTAGGGGAGCTTTTTGGCTCAGAAAGCGGCTTGTGGGTGGAAGCCCCAGGCCGTGGGCACAGCGAGGCTGACAAAGCCAGCAGCGACCACTCTCAGATGGGCCCTCACCTGGGCCTGGCCAGGAGGAGCGCAGCAGGCAGCGCTGGACCCCCGGTCCCCGGTAGAGAAGAGCAGGCCTGAGCGGGACCCAGGTCTCAGAGAAGGCGAACAGCCGACCTCGCCCAAGGCCAGCCCTTTTTGCCACTGTCACTACGTCCAGGTCTTCCAGAGGCATAAGTAAGGGAAAGGAGGCGCTGGAAGGGGGTGGTGATGCAGGAATGGGAGTCTGGACCGCCTGGAGTTGGCCTGAACCAGGCGGGAAAGCCCCGGGGGAGCCTGCGGGCCTCGGCCAAACGCCTCCCGCCCCCACGAGCCACGGCGGCTGCAGCTCGAGCACCTCCCCCGCCAGGCGCCCGCGGCCTCTCCAAGCCGCCCGCGCTTCCCCAAAGAGACGCGCAGGAGCGCGGGGCCCGCAGTGTCGGAAGCGAGAAGACGCGGGGCCGGCTACGACCACTCCGCCGAGGACAGACCCGCCAGAGCGCCCACCCACCGGGCCGACTCACCCTCACCGAGGACCGCCCGAGGCTCCGCACCCGCGGCGACGCCGGAAACGGGGCTCGGAGCGCGCGCCCGCTCCGGCCCGTATACTTCCGGCCGTTCTGGGCGGCTGGGAGGCTCGGCTGTCTCGGTGGTTCCCAGCCCAGCCACCAGGGCGCCGGGGAGGGGCGGGGCCCGAGCGTGAGGGAAAGGAGAGAGCCTGGGGAGGGCGTGGCCGGAGCCCAGGGAAGGGACCCGGCCAGAGTCCCGGGAGGCGGAGGACCCGCAGGCAACAGGGCAGAGCGGAACCCGGCACAACCGGCGGAAAGCCGGAGGGTCGCCCGGCCCCGGCCCGGCGCACCTCGGGTCACCAGTCTAAGGGCGCTGTCCCCGCACTGAGTGTGCCGGGCGTCTCTGCAGCAGAACGCACCATCCCAGGCCGTGGCCCCGGCTGGGGGTCCGTGTGGAAAGAGCGGGCGGTCCGCGCCGACCACCGCAGGGCCGGGGCGCCGAAGCCGAGAGCTGAGGACAGTGCGGACCACCCAGGAGCAGAGAGGCCCAGGCGAGGGTCGTATACCCGGACCCCAGGCGGAGGGCGGCGCGCCCCGAGGTCAGGCCCAGGCTTCCCCTCGCGCGCCCCCGCCCCTCCCCAGCTTCACGCGGACCCGGGGCCGTCTGTGCCGGGTGTTCCCCTAGATCCTCGCTCTGCCCTGCCCGTGGCGGCGGGCTCACCCCCGCTTCCTTAGGACTCGGCGGGAGCCTCCCCTCGGCGGCCCAGCTCCTGAAGACTCGGGGAGGACGCTCCTGCGTCTTCGGGAGCCTCCGCGTCCCCGGCGGCTCCGTCCTCTGCACCAGCCGGGGTGCGCCCTGCGCCGGGCCTGAGCCGCGTTCACACGGACAGCCCGGCGGCGGGAAGGGCGGGGCAGAGGGTGCGCAGATCTCTTTGTCGGGAGGGCCCTGACACCCGACTGGTCGATGACCAAATCCCGGGGTTCCTGACACAGCCACAGTGAAATCTGGCGCAAACCAAAGACGGGAAGTGAGCGGAGTCAATTCCCAGACCACCCTCCTGGGGTCCTAGGGGAGGTTAGGGTTCAGGCGTCCGCACCCCAGTCCCACAATCCTCACTGAGCCCCGAGCCCACAGAGCAAACGGACCGTTCACAGCCAGGGGCCTGAACGGTCCCTCAAATGGTCACAGCGCCCCTTCTCTGGGCCAGCTCAGATTGCTTTCTAGCTCTTTACAGCCTGGGATTGGGATTCCAAGCTGTAAATGTTCCCAGGGAAAAGCCCAGCTTAAAAATTACTTTCCAGGAGATGCATTTCCAAGGGCACTTTCTGTATCCTAGTAGATGGCCCAGAGCGATAATACTTTCAATACACGGGAGCAGACAGAGACCCTCCCCAGGCCATCACCATCCCTGGGCACTCAGGAGTCACAGTGTGTGTGTTTTGTTTTTTTTTTTTAATAATTTTATTTATTTATTTTTTTCCTCCAAAGCCCCAGTAGATAGTTGTATGTCATAGATGCACATCCTTCTAGTTGCTGTACGTGGGACGCAGCCTCAGCATGGCCAGAGAAGCGGTGTGTGGGTGCGCGCCCTGGATCCGAACCCTGGGCCGCCAGTAGCGGAGGGCGCGCACTTAACCACTAAGCCACGGGGCCGGCCCTCACAGTGTGTTAAAATGTGCCTGGGGTTTGTTTTAATCAGGTTGGTAAGACACGGAGACTCAGAAATGATTGTGATGAAGGAAGACATTTATACTCACGGTCCCTAGAAACAGGAGGCAGGACACACCACGCAGGGCCACGGAGGAAGGGCCACGGAGGAAGGGCCACGGAGGAAGCACCAGTCGGTCGGGAGGCAGAACAGGGGAGGGGAGAGCATGGCCCAGAGCCTTTATTGGGATTTTCGCAGGAAGGAGTGGGCGAGGCAGGGCAGGTACACTAAGTAAGTTTAGGATTGGATAGTTTGAATAATTTCAGCAGGCTCCAGGCTGCAGGTGTATCTCTAGTTGTCCGATACCTGGCCCCTGGGGTGATTTAGGGCAGGGGAATATTGGCCTGGTGTGTGCAAGTTTGACAAGGAGATGGTTGGGGGTGTGGGCTCTGAACTGGTTGGTGTGTATCAAAGCCTTGCTCTAAGGGGTCATTTGCCATCTCTAGAAATGCCTTTTGGATCCAGCCCTGCTCAGCTCAAAAGCTGGTGGGAGGAACCAGGAGACCCCAGGGCCCTGGACAGAAGCAGAAGTTCCCTGAGCCCCTCAGGGAAATGTTACCTGAGGAGGTCAGGGGCTGGGAATCGTGAGAGCGAAAGGAGGTAGATGTCGAGGGGGCCTGAGGAAGTGGGTCACAGGAGCTCCGGGTGACAGAGCCTGTGCCTAGCACAGAGAAGCCTCATCACCACCCCTCCTGGGCTCTCTGTGGCTTCAGGTGCTTCCTGAGGCCCCACCTCCTGCTCCTGTCTGACTCGTGTCCTGTACTTGACTTTTCTCCTTCTCAGACCTGAGTCCCTTGAAGGCAGAGCCTGTGATGTTTTCGTCCTCTCTCTCTGTCTTCTATGCTCAACAAAGACTACACATGCTCAATAGAAAATTGTTTGAAAGACCGACTAACCTCTGAGTCAGGAAAGTTATTTTTCTTTAAAGGAGAATAAAAGCTGAAATATAGGATTTCCAGAAATGAAACAGATTTCCTTCACTCAGAATGAAAGTTCAAGCTTAATCAGAATGGAACCCAAATATGGAAAAATATGGCTGAAGTGGGATTCAGAGATGCACCTTTTATAAAACCCACTTTACCAGATGTCACTAATACTTTTGGGTTCTTTTCCAAGAGGAAAGCTGCTTCCTGTTAGTGTCCATTTGAATACTGCAAGTTAAAAAATGTCAGGGCTCACATCCATTAAGATGGCTACTATCAAGAAAACAAGTGTTGGCGAGGATGTCGAGAAATTGGAACCCTTGTGCACTACTGGTAGGAATGTAAGATGGAAATTCCTCAAAAAATTAAACATAGTTTTAGCATATGACCCAGCAATTCCACTTCTGGGGATATACCCAAAAGAACTGAAAGCAGGACCTCGAAGAGATATTTATACACCCATGTTCATAGCAGCATTATTCACAATAGCTAAAAGGTGGAGGCAACCCAAGTGTCATCTATGGATGAATGGATAAACGTTCATTATATAATATTACTTAACCTTAAAAGAGAAAGAAATTCTGTCACATGCTACAACATGGATGAACCTTGAGGACATTATTGTAAGTGAAATATGCCAGTCACAAAAGAACAGGGGCCAGCCCAGTGGCGTAGCGGTTAAGTTTGCATGCTCTACTTTGGTGGCCCAGGGTTCGAGGGTTCTGATCCCAGGCTCAGACCCACGCACTGCTTATCAAGCCATGCTGTGGTGGTGTCCCACGTATAAAGTAGAGGAAGATGAGAACAGATGTTAGCCCAGGGCCAATCTTCCTCAGCAAAAAAAGAGGATTGGCAACAGATGTTAGCTCAGGGCTAATCTTCCTCACCACAACAAAACAAAACACAAAAGTGTATGATTCCACTTCTATGAGGTATCTAGAGTAGTCAAATTCGTAGAGACAGAAAGTAGAATGGGGGGGGTGCCAGGAGCTGGGAGAAGGGGGATGAGGAGTCAGTGTTTGATGGGGACAGAGTGTCAATTTTGCAAGATGAAAAAAGCTATGGGGCTGGATGGTGGTGATGGCTGCACAACAATACGAATGTACTTAACACCAAACTGTACACTTAAAAATTAAGATGGTAAATATTATGTGTATTTTACCACAATAAAAAAAAATTCGGAAAGAACAGGGCTGAAAACTGACTTTCTTTGCATTTGGAAAAAAGGGCACCTCTTAGCTTAGTGAGAAAACTACATTTTACAAATATTTCAGGGATTTGCTAACATATTTTCAAATTCAGAAGGAAATCCCCTTTATGCTCATGCCAGTGAGCTGAGGATAAACTCAAAGTGAAAACACAAAGGCCCTGTCATGTATGTTTGCTGGACAATTCCAGAATATTCAGTTCTGCTTCAGGAGATAAGAACAACAAATGAGGAGGGTGGATGAAATGGAAGCAGGTGGCTGGTGAGACAGGTTCAACGCAGA